AAGAGGGCCATTAATTACAAGAGCATAGCATCCCCAACTGAATTGTTGCAACTAATAATTGTTATTTGGGGAGAATTAAAATTAAAACCTTGCACTTTTTTTAAGCATCCTGTTGCAGTATAGTAGGAATGAGTGGGCTATGAAGACTACAAAGTTCTCACTCAACCCTAATCCCCATGAATTTTGCCTGCTAAACACATCAGTCCTCATTTGCCCTGACTTATAGATCAGGCTATTTGGGGAGTGGTGGGGAAATGGGGAAAAATCCCAACTGTCACTACTCTGAAGTTTACTGCTCTGGGAATATTGTCTCAATCCCTCTTGTTCTGTCTTGACCAGCACTGCCATCTTAATTCTGCAAATGCAAACCTTTTTTTCCTACCATACTGTTTTGCTCCTGTGCATGGAGAACCGCTATAAATGAGCTCTGCAGCCACAGAGGGAAGAAAGAAACATTTGAGGATAAAGGGAATCCCTTCTATTCATCAACTCACCAGCCCCCAAAATTTCCAAGCTTCAGACTTTCCAGCCAGTCACAGAGAAACCTCAACATCTGACTTTCAATGTCTGGGTTGCATAAGCAAACTCTCAAATATGAGAAAAATTTACTGAGTTTTGAGAATTCCCCCCTCCCATCCTTTCCCTCAAAGTGATTCCTTTTGAAACAGGATGTCTGGAGGGTACCCACAGACTCTTGGTTGGATGTGATGCCTGATTGTTAGGGATGAAAACAAGAATTAAACCTTTTATGAACAATTTGTATTGCAAGCCATGTGCCAAGAGAAGGCATACCATTCAAGTTTATGATTCAAGATTGAGAATCTGCCAGACTCTGCTGGCTCACCTTCCACAGAAGTTTGTGCATTTCAGCCATGAGCTGTTGCCCAGTCCAATTTTACTCTGAAACAGAGAAGGATTAGCATCTTCCATCTGTCCAACCGCAAATCATTCACCTTGCTGCAACATATGTGGTAGGAAAAGAAGATTATACAGCCTACAGTATAAGTGCTAGGGGCAAGATTTCTTGGGAAACATGCTTTTTCAGGGCACCCAGTATTAACTGGTACACTAGGAAAGCTGGATTTCCCAGGATTCCCAGCAACCATGTTTTACCCATTGGCAATGAAGGGTGTAGAGATGTTTCCCTCTTTCTCCCGCTGCTGAAAGACGAGCCGTCACACTTTTAGAAGCTGATACTATGAACTCAGGAGCTCAAGAGGTGAGCAGACGGCAATATATCAAGCTGAGTAACTTACTTGATCCTGTCTATCCACTCTTATTTTACTTTTTGGCCAACTGCAGAATCTCGCTCTTGAATTATTATTTTGCAACGAACCTCTTGTCTCCTTTCCATGGTTTTCTTCAACCTGATACTCTCCAGCTACTCTCACTCCCAGCATCCCCAGCCCAAAGAGGCAATGGTTTTGAAGCCTGGGAGCCGGGGTCTCAGCACATTTGGAGGGACCCATATTGGGAAGACTGATAGAGCAAAACTCCTGTAAAGGCAAGAAAATGGCTTCATTGTCTAAAAATGGGACACAAAACCTCAGATTGGCTGTGTTCACACAACATGCTAGCAGAAGTTAAAACAGGCTGGTGCATTGTATTGTGGGAACACAACTGTTTTCTTACAGTTGTCTGAACCAAAATATCACATCGAGCCCTAAGATGGTTTGTTTAGACAGGACATAGCACAGCAACTTTATTTTGTTAACCTTAGCTTCTAAGCATTCAGTCACTGAATAATCTGTATATTTCTGTCTCTTTCTCCCCATCTCCCTCTGTAGGCCCATCTTTTTCATTTCTTTCATTCTCTTTATCTCTGCTCACAGCTTTCTACTTTCCATCCAACTAAGTGCACTCTGCTAAAGTCATACAAGATTTCATTCATGAACATCTGTTAACTCTTGAGAAGAAAACCATATTGCATAAATTGCTGATGCACACATTCCTGGGAGTTGATGCTCAAAAATGACCCACAGCCACTTTTTTCTCTACGTCACTTCTGAAAGTTGACATTAATACATGCAGTCCAGAAAATCACCACCTTTGCTTGCAGCTCTTTAAAGCAACTGCCTCTTCTCCTAAGCTTCTGCAGCTACTCTTTGCAAGTGCCATGTGATCTCACAGGAAAGACATGGCTGCTTCAAAAAGTTACATAGGGGCTCCATTGACACTCCCACATGCCCCCAAACACCTTGTTATTAGTGAATCTAAATGCATTACACAGACCTAATATCAAAAGGCAGAAAGGACCTGAATTTATTTCTCTGAACGGTCAGTTCATTTTTTTGATTACTCAATTATTGACAAGAATTGAAGCAGATCATTTCAAATGTCTTATTGTCAAAAATACTAGTCCACACAGGAAAACGCCCAATTTCTCTAAAGTGTTATTTCTTTCCCCATTTCTTTTTCCTAAGAAAGTATGTTTCTTTTTGTAACCCAGCTTTTCAGTGGACAATGAGCATAGGGTTATGCTTTCCGTCAAAGGAAACCCAAACGAAAGATGCTGAGAAAAATTAAAAAGGAAGAGGTGAACAGCAAGGGTTATCGTTCAACTATTCCAAAGCAAAACTATCACAACATATTTGGGATGAAGATCACACAGATTGCATGTTGTTATTAAGAAATCAGTGACACGTATTTTTTTTCACAAAAAAGTCATTTGCTCGTCAATTACATTTTCTTGGTATGATATGCATTGCACAGCATTTTATCATCTTATGTTTGATTACTGTTTAGGATATAACTCCAAGTTTACTGCAGGAACAGGGTGGACTTTGTCAACTCACACTTCTTGGCGATTTCATTTTAAATGCCATGCTTTTAATCCCAATGATTCCAACATCATTTCAGGAAAGTAAAAGGGAGGCAACATGAGGCAGATTTACCTTGTACAGGGAGGGTGGAAAAGTTGAAACCCAGCGGACAACATTGCAACCAGAGATTGTGTGTCAAAACTGATGGCTGTAAACCAGTTTGGCCCTCCATAACCTTGCCTTGCACACTGAAGAGCTTTTACCCATATATGAAAGACTAACAGCCCCCCCACCGCCCCCAAATCTTCTAACTAACCAAGACACAACCTTATTATTGTAATTTCCAACTTGGGAGGGAGAATTCCTATCGGCAAGATGGACAGAGACAAAAATATTAAATGGAGACCAAAGGAAAAGGAAAAAAGGCATCGAGAGACATAAGGATTCCAATGCTTGGCTTTCTGTTGCAAGAAAGGTCTCCTCTTTGAAGAATGCCCAAGAGGAATCATAAAATAGAGGGATTCCTCTCCCCCCCCCCTCCCGCTGGGCTTGAGGTTTTTCTTCCCAACAGAAAACTTGCAGACAGACTTATTTGGTGGCCTTGCATGTGCTTTCAAGCATTCATAACTTTTCAAAGCACATTTCCATATAAATGCCTGAGCAGATTTCTCACAGGACCAGCAAAGGAGATGCCAGCACCTAAAATAGGAGAACCAAATGGGTATAGCCCCCACTTCTATCAATTAAAAGGTGGCAAGATCACTGGAGAATTTCTTCGGTGCATTAAAATGAGCAAGTCCTTAGCAGACATCACACCCGCTAGCTGTAGGCCATATAAGAATTGGAAGATGTCCCTTGTTGGATTAGAAAAACAGTTGGCCGTATGAAACTGATGGACACCAACGTACCCAGAAACAACACCTTTGCTTCCTGCTAACAAGCCACCAGTCATTAATCATCATTTCCTGGAATGTCTCACTTGGGCCATAAACACATTCTTAGAAATTTGCTTGAAAAAAATAGTAGGCAGCTTGGTCTATGATGGGCTCACCTCACCATAAAGGAAGACAAAGCCAGGCATGGGTGGTTTAAAATATCTAGAGAAGGGGATGGAAGCAAGCAACCATCTCCATTTGCCTTCTGGTAAATGGGGAGTTGGTGACTGGCCATGCCCACCCCAGCAACAGTCTTGCCCAAAGGAAGATTGTTTTCTTTTCAAAATTTGAAATGTGCTCCCGAACTCCCAAGGTGGTCTACCTCTTGGAATAAAACAAAGGCCAATCTAGCTTGACAGATGCTTTAGGAAGCACACAAGGCATGCAAACTTTAGCTGCCAAAGACTTTTGGAGCTAGATCATCCCTGGATGGGTAAATGTGATTCCCAGTCCTCCCCAATTTTCTAATTTGAACAAACCAACTCTACTTCGCCCTACTGTTCTCAGAGTCTGACACCCATAATATTTAAAGTTGCCAACTTCTGCACAATAGCTTGCAGAATTCACCAGGTATTGATTTGCCAAATGTTAACCCTGTTGTTTCTAACCTCCAGTTATTCAATTTTGCACTTTTGTTCCCCAGTTTCTTTTTCTTTTTTAGCTCTATAGCTAACACAGAATTATCTTACTAAAATGTGTCCAACTCTTTGACATTTTAAAGTTTGCAACTTCACCTTATAGCTTTTCATAGTGTTGTTTTCACAGAAGTCTGATAGCTTTTATGTCTCCCTCTTTTAATCCTGTGGTAGTTGTCCTTACAGTTTTGAGGAATAGCGGTTCATTTCATAATCGTTTTTGTTTTTTTTTTCAATTTGATGCTGGTCAAACACTGAAACAAAGATACTGTAACTGTAATTTCTAAGTTCTACAAAGTCATCAAAAGCCCAGACCAAACTTTCATAAGGAATGAGCTAGAAGGAAGTTAAGGCAGTGGAATTGTAACTATGTACTCTGGCCTATAGCTGTTTAGAACTATACATGTATAGTTATAAGCCAGGTCTCACTTTTCAGGGGTGTCAAGTACATAAATTACTCACAGTCAACAGAAGGAAGCCAATGTCACCATCAAAAAACAGGCCATGGTTGTTCATTGGAGTCTCAACGGAGAGAGAGACACAAAATAGCATATTCATGTAGCTTCCAGCATACTCCAGAAGGCAAACACCATAAATCGAGGAAAATGGGTAGGTTGTGATGCAGCACAAGTAAGAACAGAAGCTGGTTTAAGCATTGTTCCAATATCCACACCAGAGGCCCGCTGCAGCCCAAATGAGAAGAATTCCTCTTTGCAATTACACCTTGAATCCTGAGTTAGTTCTTTGTTCACAAAGAGACCTGTTTCAGCTGGGCACTTCTGTGTTGAGTGCATTGAAGACCTTCACCTGATGCTGGGTGCATGGAGACGTATTCAGTAGAGGCATGAAAAAATAAGACACCTCATGCTATCTCTCACAGTGCTTAAAAAGCTAAGTAGCAACTGCAAGAAAACATGAGGTTTTTCCCATGTCAAGAGTAGACAGCCAAGCTTCCATGATCCAGGGTTTTACTTTATTCTCGTAGGAGGAAGCAATCCCTGACCTGGTAGGTTTTGGCACAGAGGCTGGATTCGTACGACTCACGTAATCCTGAAACTGAGTTTCCAAAACAGAATGTCTGTGTTCATGTAACATGTGATGCCCAAATAAATAAACCAACCATATTATGGCTTAGTAGGATATTTACACATCATGCTAAGATGTTGGCTGGGTTTCCTAAAACATGCTTAACCACAACTCTTGAAGCCCATTTTTGCCTGGATGGGTTCATGTTGCATGAACCCATCCAGAATATCCAGGTTGCAGATGGAAGAGCTGGATAGAGTTGGCTTCCTCCATATCAAGTGTTAAAAAATGGGGTTCTTACCTCCTTCGGTTTGGTTTGGCTGTGGCACTGGACATCAAGGGATTGTATCTCACCTGTGTCTTCTTCTGGCTTTGAATGGGTAGCTGAGACCATAATGAAAAGGGACAATTGCTGAAGAAGATGCTTAGGGTCTAATAGTCTGCCCAATTTTTGTCAGTTAAAACAGAGGTAGGTGTCACTGTCCCCTCCACACCAAATAATCTTATTATACCAATACAGGAAGCATTATGTTTAGCATCTTGTCAACATTTAGAAGCATGTATGTTTTGCATTCCCCAAATTTCTCTTGGGTACAAGGTTCGATGGTATAGATTTTGCTTTGCATGCAAATGTCCCCAAGTTCCCTTTCTGGCTTAAAGGAAGAGGAGATGTAGGTGAGGGAAGACTGCAAAGGCACTGTAAGGGTCAACAAATGGGATTCATGATTCAGGTCCAATTCAATTTGAACATTGAAAGCAATCTGGAAAACAGAACTGATCTTCCTAGGACATCCATATCAAATTGGACTGAATTGAATTAGATTCAGACTGCTCAGAAACGTGCACAGAAAGGGTCTGCATTGGCTCAGAATACATCTGATGCTCCAAATGGATCTGAATCAACTTGGAGTGTGAAAGAGTCACAGAGGTGTCATTCGTAATCTATCTATCTATCTATCTATCTATCTATCTATCTATCTATCTATCTATCTATCTA